AGGGAGGGAGGGAAGGAGGGAGGGAGGGAGGGAGAGAGAGGGAGAGAGAGGGAGGGAGGGAGGGGTAGAGAGAGAGAGAGAGAGAGGGAGAGAGAGAGAGAGAGAGAGAGAGAGAGAGAGAGAGAGAGTCTGTAGCCTCGTTATTCCATAATGTGGATTCTTGTCTTAGCTCTTCAGTGTTGTTCTGTTTTACACAATTTTTAAATTTTTAGTATTTTTACCCCTTTTTTTCCTTTTTCTTTTTTGCTAGCGAAGGCCCAACAAGTCATTAGTTTCTAGTTGGAGACCAAATGTCATATTCGTGTGCCGAAACCTGAAATTACAGTTAGGGAGCTAGCATCTTCTGTTGTGGAATGCTTTGACATTTCATATCTTTCTGCAGAGCCATCGTCGTGACATAGAAGAACTGCAGAGCCCCTTGGAAGAGTTGCATAACGAGTGCGCAAAAGCGAAGGAAGCTCATGATGACGCACGCAATCAGATTGATAAGACACATGGTAAATCTCCCTGTCCATCTTTTGGTTTCCTTCTGCCTTTCACATCCTCGATCTTTAGCACCATTGTGTCTGTAGAGACTGACCAAGTGCATGCTCTTGTGTCTGTTTAAGCAATTCAGAATGGAATTCCTTCAACACGGAGTTCCGGTGTTGTCAATTTAATGTACTTAGAACTTAGAAGTTAGAAAGGCCGATGGGCTGGAGATATCATTATCAAGCTGACCGGCCCTAGGTAGTTCATAATTGTTAGTTATTTTAGTCACCTGCTCTCAGTGGAGTTTGAACTCAGGTCTGTGTTTCAACAGTTGGGAGGTGTATCAACTGAGCTACCGTCTTCACCCGAATAGAACGCCCGATCATTATAGCCCTATCTGGTACAATTTTCAGTCCAGATACAGCTATAATGACCAGGCGTTCTATTCGGGTGAAGACGGTAGGCCCGTTGCATGTCTACAGTTGAGGGATGTACCAACTGAGGTAGGCAAGTTGGTAGTGTTGTAAATTTAATCTCAAGGAGTCGAGGTTATGCTCTCTCTCTCTCTCTCTCTCTCTCTCTCTCTCTCTCTCTCTCTCTCTCTCTCTCTCTCTCTCTCTCTCTCTCTCTCTCTCTCTCCAACCAGGAATTCCTGTCCCTAGAACCTGTTCCTGTTCAGTAAAGGATTCCTGGTTGGCTCACGACCAGGTTCCTGTTCAAATCTGAAATGCATCTCTCTCCTGCTCCTGGAACCTGGTCCTGTTCAAATCTAAAATGCATATTGTACCACCATTCAGTTGATGCTCAAGGAATTCCTAGTGCATCAAGTGAATGGTGGTAGGTGAACAGATTCCAGCATCAGGTATTTCTTCACTGAATCTAAACCTTGAACAAACTGGTAACATCATATACTGAGATCATCGCCAGATGGATGAATTTGCGTGCGGATGGAGAGCTAGGCGTAGTTGTCGCTAGCTAGCTACATGAGAGTTGTGAGGAAAATGATGCCATGAAGATGCCCGTTCTGTCTGCAGGAATCGGAGACGTGCAAGGGTGGCTGAGACATGAGAGCGATGAGAAAGTTGATGGGATGAAAGCTAATTCGGAGTTCTGCCTGTTTGCTTATCCTGCCTTTACATTGAGGGTACCTCGGATGAAAATGCATGGAGAGTTGTGGAGACCATATCAATCGCTCGAAGAAACCAGGTTCGCTTGATGCCCATCAAAAGACTTGCAGGAAGAGAGATGGGAGCACTTGAAAAATCCAGCATTGGCATGCCCTCTTCAAGCCTGATCAGGCAAGCATTAGAGTCGTTGATGTGTGTGTATGAGCTTTTGCCTGAAGGGATGCCGTGCAACAGAAACGGGGAAGACAAAGACAAACCGTCCACAAGGTGAGACAGGAGCCGTCGTGAAACATAGCGTATGAATGGCAGCAGTTCAGCCCTTCATAATGTTGCCTTAGCAGCTTGGTAAGGCAAGCGTGTAATGGTGGCATGACATTGGGAGGAGGAGGGGGGAAAGGGGGAGAAGTGGGGATCATCCTCTCTTGAAATTTCATGACGTGGTGGATGTCATGGTATGCAATTGTGTTTGATTGGGTGCAGATGAAGCAATCGCGCAGAAAAATATATCAGAGACTCTGGAAAAGGAGCTGATGAACCTGCAACAGTCAGTGGATGAAGCAAAACGGGTAAAGATGTGCTTGGAACTGCAATGGATTGTGACTGCCAATGTTCTGCCAAAAATGTCGTTTCACCTACTGGTAGTGTTCACTGCCAATGTTTTGCACAGAGTCAAAAATATTCACAATAGCAGATGCATATGGCCTGTGTCATGCACCCAAGCTCGGTAAAACCCACTGTCGGGGCTCCAGTGAAAGGATGTTTCGCATGTCAGTGACTAGGTCCCAGTTTCGGTCCAAAATGCCCCAAGCCTGATGTGCTAGAGCACCGTAGTATCTGTCCTGAGGTATGTTAGCTGCATTCAGTCGGGAAGGCATCATAGTCGTGGTAGGTCGACAGGTCCAACGAGTCCGATAGGCACAGTTTGTTAGTAGGGTCCAGTGAACACCCCCCCCCCCCCCCCCCCCCATTGTTTCTGACCTCGGTAACATCCAGTGCTACCAAATTTTTACGGATACCCCACCGCTTTTTACCGTGTTCGGTGCTCTCTTTGTTTTTGCCCCTTCCAACCCGGGTTTTGCTATTCTGATTTACTGTCCATTTACTGTTTAAATTGGCTTCCCGTATTTGTTTTTCAGGGAAACGTTGTTCGGACTTGTTCCTCTCCTTGTTGGTACCACCCTATCTATCTCTTGCTGATACCGTCCCAAAAACCTTTACTAATGTCCTCAGCTCCAACTTCTTTCTCTTGCTTAATCTGAGCAGCTTTTCTCGTAGTTTCACGTGCCAGTTCGCTCGTCTCCTCAGGTGTCTTCCCTTTTGGTAAGGTTCAGGTGCTGCCAGCTTTGCAGAGCCTTTGAAATTTTGAGTTTGCTAAGTGGTTTTGGGGACCTCGTGCACATTTCCAATCCAGGGGCAAGGGTGTAAAAGGTACAATGAGGTCAGGTGTGTTGCCAGCCACATAACAAGCCAAGTAACAGTAATCAGACACACATACCAGGCTCGATACCAGCCAAACGGATTCTTTTCTATGGAAGCAAGCCTCTCTTCATGGCTTTGTGGGACCCGTTGAATGCTAGTGTGAAGAAGCGAAGGAAAGAGAGTTAAAAGAACCCAAGAGTGTTCAGAAAAGAGCATCAAGGACCCTTCAAGCATGCCACAACTGTGACTGCATTTGCTGTGTTCTTCTCCCATGTTCAGGATGCTGCCCACTACAAGCGCTTTTTGTCGAATGATCTCCAGAAGCAGATTACTGAAGTTAAAGCTAAGGAGGATGTTCTGAAAAAGGAACGAGCGGTATGTTTCTGTTGCAGTGTTCAGATTTTTGTTCTTCTTTTTTTTTCCATTTCATCATTCTTGATTTTGGAGATAATGACAACTGACAACCTCCTAAGATTGTTGTGATGTTATCAACTTATCGGTATATAAACTATATATATGCGATTCTACCTCTTCTCCCCCACTGCCTTCTCCAGTCTCTGCAGTCTTGTCTTGGTCAGTTTCTACCGACAAGAGCATGCACTTGGTCAGTTTCTACAGACAAGAGCATGCACTTGGTCAGTTCCTACAGACAAGAGCATGCACCAGGGCACTGTCTATTTCCTCTTCCTCGGATGCAAAGGCGCACACGGTTGCAATCCGGCATTTTCCAAGAAAACTGCTGTCTTTTACTTGATTTGCTGAGATCTTACACTCTGTTTTTGGATGATCTGTCTGTGTGTCTGTGGGTCTGGCTGCTGAATATTGAGTCCTAGTCTTTGTCCGTGTGCTATAACTCTGTTCTCGTGCTGTGTTTGTCCCCCGGGAAGGGAAAGAGTGGAGGACACCTGCCTCCTTCGCTTTGGAAGATCCTGAGGGTAAACTTCAACCGCTCCTGGTTGAAGACCATTAGCCCTCCATGAGTTTTCATTGCCCTAACGCTGTAGCATCGTGAAGCTATGTGTGTAGGAATAATAAGAAAGGGTGTAGGTGCTGAGTGTGTGTTTTTAGCTGAGTGATTGTTCGTTGCTTTAGTTAACCCCCCTTGTGCTAGCTGTTCTTCTTCCATCTCTACTTCTGATTACGACAGTGAAAGTCCAGTCAATTTCCAGGCTCTTCGTGAGCAGAATTCAGATGTGTTTGCTGAACCAAGGGTGTGCCACAATGAACAGTCAAGTACAAGATCAAACCATTCCAGATGGTCAGTCTCCCAAAGTTATGTTTACTGGATGGGACACGGCGGATTTCCAGGAGGAACCCAGTCTTTTGGAACCACCTCAACAAGTTTCTTGTCGTCCACCTCAATCACACACTGATTTTCAGCAAGTCTACGGAGGAGCGCATACAACATTTGAGGGATAGCTTGGAGGAGAGATTGGGAGAGCATAAGGGTGGTGAGGAGCTAGAGGTTGACGAGGGTGATGAGGGTGATGAGGAAGACCATGCCTTTTCTTCACAGTTTGAATAGTCGAGTGTGGAGAGAGAGGGAGCTATAGTTCGCTCCAATGTGTTTGCAAGATTCGCACGCTCGTATGCTATGCTTGGCACACGCGGGCGTGTGCGCACGTGTGTGTGTGTGTGTGTGTGTGTGTGTGTGTGTGTGTGTGTGTGTGTGTGTGTGTGTGTGTGTGTGTGTGTGTGTTGTTTTAAAAGACCCCAGATTCTCTCTC